CAAATTTAGTGTAAGACAAATTATCAAAAAGCTTTACATTCACTACTTGTCCCTGTTACCTGGGATCTGTGCATTATATTTATGACTTTATATAGAGTATCTCTAACAAAGCATATTTGTATCTCTAGATACCTTACAGTTTGAACAGTTTGAAAAGGAACAAATCTTTTATGTTGAACACAATTTATGTCCCTTGTTTAGAAAGAGTATATTTAAATGCTGACAGCTATATAGGGTTAACGCATGTTTTTTAGTGTTATAACGTATGCAGAGACCCAAGGAATAGTTGGTGCCCGAGCCCCGTATACTAATATAGTATAATAATGTCAAGTTTTTATAACAGACAAGTTATTTTATAGGGATTCAACTTTTAATTGAAAAATGTTTGGGAAATGTTATTTTGAAATGTAATACTTAATAATCAGAAGACAAAATTCCTGTTTTTCTTCAAAACAATGCATTTGTATTTTTTGTATTGATTTGTACATTACTTTTTTTGCTGATATACTAATGCCATCATACAGGCATGAGTTTATTTTTGTCTTCTTCATTTATTACTATATCACAGGTAAATGTCTTAAAACAAACAATTTCCATTAATTATAAGCTGTGACCTACTTTTGTCTTTAAGTTTATAAAGTTTAGTAGCAATCTTTTGTGTTGTGTCTAACCTTTTTGTGGACGTATTGGGAAATGATGAAAGTAAGATTTGTTCTAATACTATAAGATTGCATGCATAAAGAATTTTTGCAATTTTAGCTTTAATGTGGAAAAATATTTTTATCTGACCTAATTTTAAGAAATGGTTTCACAGCTGTTGTTATATCTTCTTAAATGTCTGACACTATCATCTGAACAATATTTATGAACTTTTCATGAAATTTGAATTAATTTTAGACTATAAAGGTAAAAGTTTACCATTATATTGCTTTATTAGGGTTTATTTAAGATAAATGCTAGAAATGCAGCAATCCATATAACTATGGGTTTTTTTTTTAATGTTTTTTAATGTTAAACAAATTATCTTTGGATAAAGTGCATAAACCTCTAGAAAGAATGTAACTTTTTGAGCTGTTTTATTGTTTACAGTTTAATGTACATTTTTAATTTGTTAACAGTTTAATATGAAGTTTTTTTTTTATATTTTCTACAATCTTTTCCCAATTGATTTAGTTGATGAACAAATTTGAAGAATATGCACAAACTAATTGACTGGGTTAGATTTGATGAAACACCTACTAGAATTAGTATATTTATAGAATTTTCCATCACGTATGTCATCCAAAAGACATCCTGATTTGAGATATTCTTTTCAAAGTAATATATACTAATATTTTAAACATGGTCCATTAAGATATAAAGTTACAGGAATGATTTGATGCCATGTCTGTGTCACAAAGGTCATTATTAATCTTGTGGAAAGTGATATTATTATAAAATAGCAATAAACTTTGATTGATGTTGGCTAAACAAACTGTGATAGTGGCGATGGGGTTTTGTAAAAGATTGACCGAATTAATATAAAAAAATAATTTTCAATTTTACTTTTAAGGAAAGAATTATTTTAGCAGCTCATTTATGATAAAAAGAGTCATTATTGGCAATGTATCAAATTTTCATTTAAATAAAAAAGAATTTTCAGTGTTTTTCATTAAAAAAACTGAAATTTGTAGGTTTAAAAGTAATATTGTAAATTTTGTGATACAAGGAATATTGAATAGTGAGAAATTTCACTATGACTAGATGGGTAAATTACTTTATAATTATATAACACAGACATTTTAAATTCTACATACCTGTAATTATAGATTAGAAGATGCATTTCGGAAGCGCTTTTACGAAATAAAGACTTGGTATATTGTTTAAAATATCTTAAATGGCTTTTGTAACTTGTGAAATATATAAATTAAATTTTTACACTAGTTTGCAGAATTTCAGATTCATTTGACTTTTTTAAGTTTAGATTTTTTTTCCTCTTTGAAGTATTTGGTTCTAATGTCATTTCTAAGTTATATAACTTGATTCTTCATTTTATTATTAGTTTAAAATACATAAAATATTCATTTATAATAAAATTTCTAGAAATTAATATTAACACAGCACAGAAGTTAATTTAAATTTACTATAGACAAAGTGGAGGAGGTGACATTATACTGAAACACACCAATATTATGATGCAGTGTTATTGTCAGTATGGAACCCTTGTACTGCAATATTCTTTCTTACATTTTCTCAAAATATTATACAATCTTTTTTTTTCTCTACTATTTCAAGCAATATATTAAATGTTAATATGCAAATACTTTTAATTTTTATTGTTTGGCACTTTTAGTGCTATTTTGGTGAAGCCACAGTAAAAATATATAGTTATATGCCTCAAGGGTTTTTTAAGCTCAGCTGTTTTTATATCAACCACTGACTATATTTGCTTGTACCGTACATTACACACTTATTTGAGGTCCTGATAGGTCACTGTCCAAGGCCAAAAAACTCTTTTTTTTAAGTTTTGCATGCAACATCAGTCTTTAAAATTACTGAAATTAACTTCATGTCTCCAGAATCATAATTGGTGGTCACTGTCCAAGGTCCAGTACTCTGCCATGGATTTTGACTGAAAAAAGAGCCCTTGGTTTAATTCATATCTTTAAAACTATATAAGGTATTTACTTAAAACTTAATACATGTCTTCAGGATTATAATGAAAGGCATTAATTTTGAATTATGGCCTTTGTGAACTAAAAAAAAATCTTGTTCAATATCCAAGACTCACAAATATGTCATGTAATTTTTCTTTTTGCTTAATACTTACACTATCAAGGATCTTGTTAACTATCAAGCACTAAGAATAGTTGTTTGGTCTGTCTTACTGACAGCTCTTGTATTTTATAACCCATATTAGCCTGCTGTTCTCAACTCTGGTCAGCCACTATACTTTTTGCCAGCTAAATTTTACAATTTTATTATGTATTCTGAAATTAACAAAGTCAAGAGCCTTTTAATACAAAGTTGATGACAAAATTGTATGTAGAATTAATATAAGGGAGGAAAGAAAAAACTAGAAACAAAAGAAGAAAGAAAAAAATCACAATGGTATAAATTTACCACATACAGATTTAAGACAATTAAATAAAATTGTGTATACCTTAATTATGTTTTGCCTGCATTTTGAAGTGTTTGTCATTTTCCAATACCACAGCAGTATGATGGATTGTTTTATTACAGGCGTTCCCCAGTAGAAAAATGTTTAAACCACCTAGTGTGTGCTTATTGTTCCTATAAACTAAAAGAGGAAGAGTTTAGTAACAAGATTGATTACAGTCTCCTCATCTTGTGTCATTTAATCAGAGATTTTTTTTCTGAATGATTAGGTTTAACATCACCTAGTCTTGTTTAGAAGATCAATCGTCTCGGCTTGAAATGTTTCTTACTATTTTTTCATACAGCCTATTGTTTACGCCTCTTATTTACATGTTTATTTTCTCTCTTAAAACTTGTCTCATATAGAAGAATAAAAGTCAACAGTACTTTTAAATACTGGAAATAGGTGATGAGGAAAAGAATGTATAATTACTTTTTTCTCAGTATGTTACTCACATACATGGAGTCATCAATTTATGGTTTTTTCATCATCATAATATATTCATATTTGATGATTTTGTTTTTTGTTGGTTTTAAAAATTAGCCACTGTGACTCTGTAGAGGTACAAATGTAATATGAGCCGCTTCATGACAAAACCAACATAGTGCGTTTGCGACCAGCATGGATCCAGACCAGCCTGCGCATCTGGGCAGTCTGATCAGGATCCATGCTGTTCGCTTACCAACTCTATTACAAGTAGAGAAACTGATAGCGAACAGCATGGATCCTGATCAGACTGCGCGGATGCGCAGGCTGGTCTGGATCCATGCTGGTCACAAACGCATTATGTTGGTTTTGTCGTGACGCGGCTCATATAATGATGTTCCATCTGAGTATAAGTTCACCAATCATCTGTTAGCTAGTTGATTTTAAGAATCTAAAGTCGTTGATATGATTAGAATCTGTAGCGGTGATCGGCAGTTGATTTGAAGTCCCATATTTGATGAAACAGGACATATTGAATATTTCCACACTATACTCAAGCAATCTGCTTTAAGTAAAATTGAAGAAACTTATAATGTAATGAAAAACACAAAATTTGCACGTCTAATCTTCATGTCATTTATTTGAACTGACAAAGAGAATGTTAAATGACTTAGTTATTTTATGTTTTGTAGATAAGTTGAGGACAAATTGCTGACGAAGCAAAAATCAGTTTTATTTGTTTTAAAGACTTTAAAGCTTTATTATTACATAACTTGGTTTTTGCTTTAAAAAATTAATTTCTTTTAACTATAGATAGATTTTTAAAAATTGGAGTGAGGTTTTATGTGAATATTTTCAAATTGGTCAAAGGTATGATTTTTGAAAGGTGTCAAAGAAAATCTCCAGCTGAATATTCTCTTTCATTTTGATATAAAATTGGGAGATTATGCTATGACAAAATATCAAAATATATTTTTTTTTATTTTGTTTTTTTAACTGTCTTTTATAAGAAGTCAGAGAGAATGATGTGACTATATCATTAAATAAACATACAAAATATCCTGAAAATTCACAATTGTCATTTAACATAATAATTAAACAAGTATACATCATAAATGTTTCCTAGGTAAAAACTTTGCAATTATACTTGTATAGAATTTATCCCACCCTATAAGTTCATACAAAATTTAATAATATTTTCACCACAAAACAATTTATCAACCACACAGTGTCATTTAATTTATAATTTTGTTTCTAATTATTAACTTATATCATCTTTTCCTTTTGATCAAACTTCAATTGGCAATATTTTGGGCTATTTTTTGTACACAAAATTTTAAGTGCAATTTAATTATCATTTTTTTTAGGAAAAGGATAGAAAAAGGATAATGAATTAATGTTCAGGAATTTGTTTTTCAAGACATTTGTTACGTTGTTTGCATTGACGTTTGTATCATTTTGTATAGAACCAGTATTGACGTGTTACAACATCTGGTATATTAATGAAAATAGTAAGCAATATAAGATGTCTTAAATGAGAGAAAATGTGCATGTCATAAAAATGCTTACTAATGGATACAACACTGGTTTTGTGAGTAGATTTTAAACATTGTGTTTACTGCTCTTTAACTTGACTTTATTTCACAAATTGTTGTAATTATTTTGTAATTATTTTAATTTTATTGTCATGATATCTTATTTGAGAACACAACCAAAAGCATTAGAATTTTAAAAGTGTTTTTATGTAGCTTAAAAAATTGACAAAAGTTATGATAAGGAGTTTATTTTTTCCAGATTTGGGACTAGTTTCATTTGGGAATCATATAGGACCAATTTTGGTTACAAGATCAGTCAAAGATGTTAATTAGATTAAACAAGACTTGATTGTAATTAAGTTGCAATAAATCCAAATGTTCACAAGCACTAAGAATTTATGTTGAATGTTCTGCCACATTTTTAAACCATTTATTCTAGGAAGATATTATTATGGTCATGTCCTTTACAACAGCTGTTGAAATATTCAGTTCAATAGATTATCTTGATATACCGTTCTTGTTGTTGCTATAATTGGCTTTTGTAGTAAAATAATACTTTATATTGATGTTATAACAAATAACAGCTGGATGTAAATGTGGCAAAAAGTGAGCAAAATTTAAAACATGACAAAGTAATCTTAATGTTTTGCCAATTTGGAGTTTAAATAAAATCTACAAAAATATTTATGTGTTGATTTCAATTGATTTTTTTAGTGGATTTTCTGGGAATTAAATGGTTTAAAGCTTAATAATTTAAGGAAACATAAAATAAGATTAAGGTGTGTATATAGTTCAGTTGTTATTTACTAGCATTTGTATTTATGAACTTTATGCACAGCAACTAAAGAAATATATATGTATCTGTTGTTCATCCATACTGTTCTACAGAAATTGGAAACTTTGATGGAGTGATAGCAACAGGAGGATGTTTCTGATTTCTGTAAAACAGCTACGGATGAATACTAACATGCTAAGTGGCAAACTTGATATGGCTTCATTACTATTTACTTTTAAGCGTCATTTATGCAAATGACTATTATTAGGAACAGGGTTCTATGAAGCACTATGAAGATAGAAGGTGACTATGTTAAGAATTTGATAAAGTATCAACTTTTGTTCTTCTATGAAAATTAACGCACAGATTTTTTAAGAAATACAGCATTTTCATTGGATGACAGATAAAGGTGGACACTAAGATGTCTGTGTTATTGTGGGTTATTTTATCCACACATTGATGTTAACAAGCCACAAGGCAAGTCCACTATTGTTTTTCAGCTGAGTACCAGTCCACATATCTTTTCCCGTCAGTATATTTGAAACCAGTCTAAAAGTATTAGTTAATATAATATAGGATCACAAGATGCATTAAATTAAAAAGGCAAAAATTCATAACCCTTACCATTGCATGTTGACAAAGTTATGCTGTTTTCTTTACTTGTATAGAAATTTACATTTACAAAAATGTACTTAAGTGTTTTTGAACCAAGCAGGTTTCAAAACTTTTTTCTTGTTTCCGGAAAATTTCAGACAACATTTGTCAAAGGGCACAGGAGGTCTGCCAGTGATGTGGAGTTTAAAGAGAAGATGAGACTTGATGCGAAGGCTGCCATGAACAAGGAAATGCAGAAAATCCTCAACACTGTAATGGGAAATAAAGAGGTTTGACAATCATTGTTATTTTCTTGTATATAGTCACCGTGGGTAAGCAACTTTGGTCATGTGACCACAAAAGTCAACGTACCCGGCCAAAATAGCTCGGCTGAGGTAAGTTTTTTAGTGATTATTTTTTTGTCCAGCCGATTTAAATTATGCTACATAGCCTACCGAGTGCCGCAGTTCCGATGCTTTCTAAAAATGTATTTAGTTTCGTCTAATGTTTTGTATTTTATGAGAACATTCAAACAATATTTGCAAATTGTCGATGACAACTTACACGTTATTGTGTAAAAGTGTTGATGAAAACTTAATAAACGATATGCATGTCAGTTCTAAGTAAAATTTCAGGAACTGCCAAGGTCAGTAGGCTAATAGCATAATTTGAATTGGCTTGATAGAAAAAATAATCATTAAAAAACTTACCTCAGCCGAGCTATTTTGGCCGTGTACGTTGACTTTTGTGGTCACATGATCAAAGTTGCTTACACATGGTGAAAGTGCAAAATATACATGTATATGATTGTACCATTTTAGAGTCATATGGTTGAAGACAAACTTTTCTATACTCTGTGTGTAGTACAAAAGGTTTTGTCAGGTTTATACCTTATGACATTTTTTTTTATAAAATAGTAAAATTATACTGTTTCAATAATCTTCTGGTTGATTCTTTAAAGAGTTGTTACATAGAATGTCTCTGTTCTTAAACACGCATAAATATTGTCTAAACTTTCATGTGAGTATTTCAGAAATATTCTTTTTCATAATCAAAACAGTAACTTTTGAATCAGATATACATGTATAGCTTTAAATATACACTTTAATATTCAGATATTGGTAGATTGAAATAAATTTTGTTGCTCTTAGTTTACTGGTCATATTAAGTATATTGTTTGTTTGTTGTGAAAGGAACCTGTATGTATACTTTATTACGTATATCTAACATCCCTTATTACAAACATACAGAAATTTTTTATGTAAAGATGCAACTGTTGCAATGTAAGTTTTTTTGATCATTAATTACTGTTTATCAGAAAATTAAGTTCCATTGTGCCACTGAGAATTTTCCTTAGAAAAAAGTGTTTTATGTAAAATAGTTCTTTTTTTCCAGCACATTCAAAGGGAGTTTGATGGTTTTGAGCAGCTGTTCAACAGGTATTTGCATGAAACTGGACCAAGTGTTGACTGGGAGAAAATAAAACTTCTACGAGATGATGCAGTAAGTAAACTAATGAACAATTCTGACAAAGAAGTTTGAAACCAGGCAAAGCTTTTCAGTGTCAATGGGTAATTATGTGTATTCTGACTGACGGTTCTGAACTGGGTAATTGTGTCAGATCAAATCTTTGAAAATTTTGTCAGAATGTTTCTTTTAAACCATTTGTGGCTGAGGGGTTGCCTCTAAGGGTTGAGGCATCAGAATTGCAGCCACAGTTTATCTCTGTGAGATCAAAAGAGGGGCCAAATGGGTTCGAATTATTGGAGTCTATGCAACTCTAATCTTCAGCAGGTGAGGGGGTTTTAACCCCTGGTGTTGCTTTAAGTTTGAAACACCCAAGGTTAGCCAAAATAATCTGTTTCAGCGCCTTATGACCTAAATCCTGTTTGTGTGTCGTAAAACCAAACCAAACATCCACAGTCTCTCTCAATGATATCCTTGACAAGTTTAACACTTAGACAAAGCACTATACTAGGTCACCAAGTCATATTAAAAACACTTTGTTAACAATTTATAAAGGCTGAATTAAACTTACTGAGTATGTTTGCCTAGATGATAACTTGGTGAAATTTTAATATAGATTCCTAGCTTTTAAAGGAAAATTTTACATATCACTTTTGAGGCAGCCATCGTGACTTTGAGTTTGTGGTGAGAATTTCTAGTTTTTATTTTGAATATGATTTGCTTGGGATGGAGAATTTGGTCACTGCTTTACAATGAATGAAACAAAAAATGAAGAATAACATGTTACTATCCTTTGAGCGATGACAATATGGGATGAGAGGTGCAAGGCTTGCTAATTGAGGCCGTTTGTAGTAGGGAACTTCTATTGTTTGGTAAAATCTTTAGTTGTTTTATATAAAATAAAAAGTTTAAGGCTGGTAGTAAGCATATGTTTGAAAAAGGAGAAACAGTAATTTTGTAATACATGTATTTTTCTTATTTATAGAGTAAACTGTCTTGCACTCATATTTATGTTACATTCAGGTGAAAACATACAAAGATTTGGTAGCACCAAAGTCTGATGAGATCAAGCAGTTATTGGACAAGCTGGTTGTGGTGAAGCTGAATGGAGGTTTGGGAACTAGCATGGGATGTAAGGGACCGAAGTCGGTCATCAGTGTCCGTAATGAACTCACATTCCTTGATATGAATGTGCAGCAAATTGAGGTGGGTTTAGATTGTATGTTGAAGAACATTATGATTTTGTGTTCTCGGTCAGTCTAGATTCAGAATGTCACATAAAATGTGTCTGCTACATAAATGTTGTTTCATGCTAGGGTTTGTTACAAGTGTTACATGTTTGACCAACATCTGTTTATGGTTTAGTTTATACTTACAGAGGTCAAAGGTAAAAAATGTGATATTTCTTATACAAGTCCACTTCATTGTTTTGTCTTTCCTTGATGATGAATTTTGATATAAACCCTGAACCTATTTGCCATCAGTGTTAAAGATTTAGGTCAGCCTTCACATTTGTGCAGTCTGATAAGTCTTTATACTGCTGGTAGCTTAATTTTTGTATTTTATATAATGATTCCTTAAAGTTTGAATTGACTGTTTTAAACTGACAGCATGGGAAATCCATGACACAAAATCATCAGGTTTATAGTTAATAAGCAAAAGATTTAGCCATAATGTTCTTGTAAAAAATCATTAGCACTTAAAGTTTAATCAATTTATCAAATAACTAGCACATTTTTTTGAAAAGATCTAAGCTCATTTAAGATATGGCTGTGCCCTCATATAACACAGTTGAACATCTGTGCCCTCATATATCACAATAGAACATCTGTGCCCTCATACATCACAGTTGAACATCTGTGCCCTCATTTATCACTGGTGAACATCTTTGTGCTCATATAACACAGTTGAACAACTGTGCTCTCATATTACACAGTAGAACAACTGTGCTCTCATAACACAGTTGAACAACTGTGCTCTCATAACACAGTTGAACATCTGTGCTCTCATAACACAGTTGAACATCTGTGCTCTCATATATCACTGGTGAACATCTTTGTGCTCATATAACACAGTTGAACAACTGTGCTCTCATATTACACAGTAGAACAACTGTGCTCTCATAACACAGTTGAACATCTGTGCTCTCATATATCACAGTTGAACATCTTTGTGCTCATGTAACACAGTAGAACAACTGTGCTCTCATATTACACAATAGAACATCTGTGCCCACATATATCACTGGTGAATATTTTTATGCTCATATAACACAGTTGAACTTCTGTGCCCTCAAATTACACAGTTGAAAACTTATTCCCTCATATTACATGCACTTAGTTGAAAATATGTGCCCTTATATTACAAACAAGGTTGTGTATCTTTTTCAAGATATCTCTTGTTAACAGATCTGCATTGTCCATTTTGTTATATATATGCTTGTATTTTTATCAACTTTGTTTCAGACATTAAACAGGAAGTATGATGCAGATGTACCTCTTGTTCTTATGAACTCTTTTAACACGGACGAAGACACAGAGAAAATATTGAAGAAATACAACCAAGTTAGAGTGAATATATTCACATTTACTCAAAGCAGGTATTGATATAGTCATCTCTAACTTGCTGTAATGCTGTTATTGAAATACGGTTAACAAAGCAATATCCAAATTAACTATTACAATAAGAATGCTAACTTATGTCATAAGGGGGTATTTTAAGTGGTAAATATGTCACTGACTAAGAAATACTTTCAACATGCAACCATATGTTTGAACCCTACCTCTGGCATGATCAAAACCTTTTTATTTTATTATTTCACTTGTGTTAAATCTAAAATCACTTATAATATTATTTTAAACATATTTATTATTTGTTGAAAGTTATTTATGGATCTTTTTGTGCTTTTCTTCTTAGAGTAGCTTGTAGTTGTAAAGAATATGTTTTACTATAAATTCTTGTTATTCCATTCAGATATCCAAGAATTAACAAGGAATCCTTGCTGCCAATAGCAACAAATTTTGGGCCAGAGAGTGCTGATGGGTAAGTGAAAGATTTGTGAAGAGACTTATTACACTAAGTTATGTGATTTTTGTGCTTTTAGTTTTGAACTGTGTATTGTTATTTAAAGTGGCCTTAAGCTTTTTATTTTTTGTTTGAAAAACAATTGTTTAAATTATTTCAGTAAATTAATCTTTGCAACAGCATCATTATCCTCTTTAACCTTTAACCCCCCCCCCCCCCCCCCCCCTGACAGAAAGGGGCATCCCCCTTCTGGCAACCCCCTGATGTACCATTTTGATTTGGGGGGAGGGAGGGCGGCGCTGAAAAAGTGGTCACTTTTTTTTTTTAACAACATTACTCAAACGAAAAACAGTGTGTTTGGGGTCTTAATATGGCATTTTTTCACTGTTTGAGGCCTCAAAAAGGCGGGGGGGGGGGGGGGGGGCAAAAAGCCATCAAAACACGTCTATATGAGGTAAAGGTTAAAACTGTGTCCAGAGAGCCATGTATAACATGCCAGTGACATTCGTATCTAAAAAATAGAAGACAGGGAAACGAATTGTCCACTTTGCTAATTTACATATAGAGAGTGAACCTTAGATTAGAGGTAATTGAAGGCTTTCCTTATTGTTTATGTATTTAATTGAGAGCAAATTTCATCTTCACTTTAATTTTATTTACATGTATATGAAACTATTTATTTAACAAAAAATGATGAAAAACATTGGAATCACCTAAAAACTAGTTTTTCATGTTAACATGTGGTCTTTCACCTAATTTTGGTGAAAAATTGTTGTTTTGTAACATTTATAATTTTTTTAGTTAACCCTTTCCCCCATGAGCATATTGTGAAAAATGGCCGTTTTCACTGAAAAGCCTCCTGTTACAAGTTCAAACTGCTATGAAACTATGAAAAATGCTTCAATACTAATCAAACTTGGCACTAATGTTGACTGGACCATTGCCTTTGTAAAGACATGCTCAGTCTTAAATTTTCTGTTACCATGGCAACGAGGGGACATCTCAAAATTGCCAAAAATCACTATTTTGCCTCGATTTTTTCCATCAAAATTTATTTCAAAGTGCTGCAACTGCTCAAGGGATTGAGATAGAGTCAAAGGCTTTTCAGCGTTGGTTAAATGTTACATTATGATCGACCTGGGGTTATTTTAAGCCTCTCACAAGTCCAAAATTTTCTTGGCGATGAGGGGGACTCCGCCCCCCTTCAAACCCCCCTAACAGAAGGGGGCACATCCCCGTTCTGGCAACCCCCTGATGTATCTTTTGGATGGGGAGCGGCGCCGAAAAAGTGCTCAATTTTTTTAGCAACATTTCTCAAACGAAAACTTATGTTTGTGGCCCAAATAGGACATTTTTTTTCACTATTTGAGGCCTAAAAAGGGGGGGGGATGAAAGTGCGTTGTTTCGCGTATATATGTGGTAAAGGGTTAAAAATAACATATTTAACCTTTAGAAAAAGGCTGCTCTGAAGGATTTCAATATCAAAACACTGAAATTAAGCAGCTAAAATAAATGTAGATTTTTGTTAGAGTGCACATACAGGACTTGCCTGGCTGTATACATTCTGACATTAGCAAGTCAGTACAGCCGTCAATAACCAAACATTTTCACAGAAAATGTACTCTTCATAAGAATATTTTGATATTATTTCAATTCAAGTTTTAAGTGATAATTGATTGATTTTTGTTCAGTCAACAACATCTGATTCATAGAATGTAAAAATGTTTTTCATTTAATATCAATGCTTTGCTGTTGGTCATATCTTTTTTAATTAAAAAAATTCAGGAACATCTGTATTGAACACGTGCTTTTGTTTGGTATGAAATAGTCATATCTTTATTTTGTAACTAATAACTAAAAAATATCACGAACATCTGTATGAAACATGTGCTTTTGTCTGGAAAGGAATGTCTCGTAAATTAGCAACTTAATTTATTTTTAACATGTCTGGAATACAAATAAGTAAATATTTTGACATTTCAAATTTCGATTGAAAGAAGTGGCATTTCTCTTATAAACAAGACAATAAAATAATTCCTGGTTGGGGATCATCAAAACCAGACAACCACCAAACCTGGACGGCCCCAAAAATGCTGAATTTTGTATTTTCTTTGTTTAGTGGCTGTCAGTCACTTTTTATCAACAATAAATGCATGTTTCTTCTATATTTAAGTAAATAAATTTATCTTAACCTCCCTAAATGGTAATATTTTAATTTCTATTTTAAGAACGTTGAAGTTGAAATTTGGGCATCACAAATGCAATGCCTGACTTCATATATCAGCTATAATCATTTGCAGAGTAAACAATAGAATATCCAAAACTTCAGCATTTGTTGTTAAAATATTGTATATCATGTTAAAAATCAAAAATTAAAACACCCAAGCTTTTATCTGAATTAAATCACGTCATGTACATACCTGTCCGGACACATGGTACTGTAGTGTAGACAATTTAGGTAATTTTGATACCCTCCTTGATGAGCTTCAGACATAAGTGTCAATCAATCAAAAATTAACAAACTTGTTAATTAGGAGAAGTACCTAGCTGTATTGTGTCAAAGTTTTAGGTCTCTCTAGGTTTGCAGTTATTAAATCTGTATGGAAAAATGTTCAAAATGTGTCCAGTTGATGGTCTCCGACCAGTACCAATGCATTGTACAAAACATGTTGGCAACCTTTATCATAACACAATATATATGTATGTAACAAAAAAAGCTTTACCATAGCAATATATACATGTAATAACTTTCATCATAACACAGTACATGTTGGCAATCTCATCATAGCGTAATACATGTTGGCATTCTCCATCATAGCAAAATACCTTTCAACAACCTTCATCAATGCACAATACATGTTGACACCCTTCATCATAGCACAATACATGTTGGCATCCTTCATCATAGCACAATACATGTTGACAACCTCCATCATAGCAAAATACCTTTCGACAACCTTCATCATAGCATGATACAAACAAAAATCTTCATCATAGCACAATATATGTTGATACCATTCATCATAGTACAATACATGTTGACAACCTTCATCATAGCATAAAACATGTTGGCATTCTCCATCATAGCATAATACAGGTTGGCATCCTTCATCATAGCATAATATAGGTTGGCATCCTTCATCATAGCATAATACATGTTGACAACCTTCATCATAGCATAATACATGTTGACACCCTTCATCATAGCACAATATATGTTGACAACCTTCATCATAGCATAATACATGTTGACAACCTTCATCATAGCATAATACATGTTGACAACCTTCATCATAGCACAATACATGTTGACAACCTTCATCATAGCATAATACATGTTGACAACCTTCATCATAGCATAATACATGTTGACAACCTTCATCATAGCATAATACATGTTGACAACCTTCATCATAGCATAATACATGTTGACAACCTTCATCATACCATAATACATGTTGACAACCTTCATCATAGCATAATACATGTTGGCATTTCTCCATCATAGCAAAATACCTTTTGAAAACCTTCATCAATGCACAATATCAGTTGACACCCTTCATCATAGCATAATACATGTTGACAACCTTCATCATAGCACAATATATGTTGACAACCTTCATCATAGCATAATACATGTTGACAACCTTCATCATAATATAATACATGTTGACAACCTTCATCATAGCATAATACAGGTTGGCATCCTTCATCATAGCATAATACATGTTGGCATTCTCCATCATAGCAAAATACCTTTTGAAAACCTTCATCAATGCACAATATCAGTTGACACCCTTCATCATAGCACAATATATGTTGATACCATTCATCATAGTACAATACATGTTGACAACCTTCATCATAGCATAATAGATGATGACAACCTTCATCATAGCATAATACATGTTGGCATCCTTCATCATAGCACAATACATGTTGACAACCTTCATCATAGCATAATACATGTTGACAACCTTCATCATAGCATAATACATGTTGATACCATTCATCATAGCATAATACATGTTGACAACCTTCATCATAGCATAATACATGTTGATATCCTTCATCATAGCACAATACATATTGCATTATACATGTTGACAACCTTCATCATAGCATAATACATGTTGATATCCTTCATCATAGCATTATACATGTTGACAACCTTCATCATAGCATTATACATGTTGACAACCTACATCATAGCATAATACATGTTGACATACTTCATCATAGCATAATACATGTTGACATACTTCATGTTGACATACTTCATCATAACATTATACATGTTGACAACCTTCATCATAGCATAATACATGTTGACAACCTTCATCATAGCATAATACATGTTGACATACTTCATCATAGCATAATACATGTTGACATCCTTCATCATAGCATAATATATGTTGACAACCTTCATCATAGCATAATACATGTTGTCAATCTTCATCATAGCATAATACATGTTGACATCCTTCATCATAGCATAATACATGTTGACAACCTTCATCATAGCACAATACATGTTGACAACCTACATCATAGCATAATACATGTTGACAACCTTCATCATAGCATGATACATGTTGACATCCTTCATCATAGCATAATACATGTTGACAACCTTCATCATAGCATAATACATTTTGACATCCTTCATAATAACATAATACATGCTGGTATCCTTTATTATAACATAATACATGTTGACAACCCTCATCACAGCACAATACATGTTGACAACCTTCATCATAGCATAATACATGTTGGCATCCTTCATCATAGCAAAATGCATGTTGACAACCTTCATCATAGCATAATACATGTTGACAACCTTCATCATAGCATAATACATGTCGACATCCTTCATCACACAGCACAATACATGTTGGCATCCTTCATCATAACATAATACATGTTGACAACCTTCATCATAGCATAATACATGTTGACATCCTTCATCATAGCATAATACATGTTGACAATCTTCATCATAGTATAATACATGTTGGCAACCTTTATCATAGCACAATACATGTTGACAACCTTCATCACAGCACAATACATGTTGACAAACTTCATCACAGCTCAATACATGTTGACAAACTTTATCTTAGCACAGTTCATGTGACATGCTTTATCATAGCATAAAACATGTTGGCAACTTCAAGCCACTGTATTGGCGACCTTCTATATAGCACAGTTTATGTAATATGCCTTATCATAGCACTCTCAACACAATACATGTGACATATTTCATCATAGCTTTAAAATGGCAACTTTCAGTTATACTTTGACAAAATGTTTGATGTTATAACCCAATTTTTCTACTGTACAATAAATGAAAATGATTAAAGAGAGATTATTCTATCTTTTGATGTAACATGATCTGTATTTGATTTTTCAGCTGGTATCCACCTGGTCACGGTGATATATATGCAAGCTTCTATAATTCTGGCTTATTAGAAGAATTTATCAAGCAAGGGAAAGAGTATATGTTTGTATCAAACATTGATAATCTTGGTGCAACGGTTGACATCAGTATCCTTTCAATAATAACCTTATTTTATAATGTTTTGTCAGTTCTAGAAGTTGACCTTAATAAATGTTTCGTATTAAGCTCAAATCTTACAATTATTTTGTGACTCTTTCCATTCAGTTGTTGGTCATCTTTCAATAAAATCAGGCTGTTAATTTACAATTGATGCCCATTGATCATTTTATGCAAGTTAAGCATTTTTATATGATCATGGCTCATTTCATTAAGTTATGAGTCATTGTATACAAATATGGCATGTTTATATGATCATGGCTCAATCTGTTTAGTTGTGAGTCATTCTATACAAATTTGGCATTTCTATATGATCATGGCTCATTCTACATAGTTATGAGAGTCAATTTTTTTTACAAATATGATCATGGTTCATGTACACATGTGGCTTCTTATGATACAAATATGACCTTTCTCTAAAAATATTGCTATTTATTTATCTTTATTCTGTACAATCATGGTTCCAATGTTGTTTTTTTCTCAGCACTTTGTGAACATGACCCAACACCCAGGAATTTTTTGATATTTTAGACAAATTGGGAAAAACTTATGATATACTGTATACTTCATTTAAAAGAAAAATTAAACTCAGTTTATATTTCACTTGTAATTACATATTACAATTTTGATTGCAAGATTTCAATTTTATATGACAAAGTGCAGTTATTTTTAACAAAATGACAGTAATTTTACTTTTTCATTCTTTCTTCCCTGAATTGGGAATTTTCTCTTGAAATTGGGAAAGAACATAATTTTTGGCATTGGGAATATGACCAAATATTGGTCATCAAAATTAGCCAGAATAAAAACCTGGGTTCATTCTATACAGTTCAGGCTCATTATTTACAGGTAAAACTTTTGCAATACAATCGTAATTCTTTCTATAAATAGATGCTTGATTCATAATACAGTTGTTCTATTAAATTATGGCTTATTCAATAAAATAATGTAATCAATTCACTTAGATTTTCTCTTTAACTTAATTGCAAGATATCCTGAAGTTTTTACTTAATGCTGAGGGTTGCAAGTCCCCAGAATTTTTGATGGAAGTCACAGATAAAACCAGAGCAGATATTAAAGTAAGTTAACTTGTAGACAATACATGTATGTATCAGTTATATTATGTGATAGACAGGTATTAAAAACTGATAATTTATAATGTAATATGTATTAGCACTACTGTCATATTACCTAACAAAACTCAACCTGTACATGTATATTAAACAATATTCCATGTATGTTTCTATAGTAACAAAGAAATATTTTAATGAAGAAAGCATTTATACAGTATTGTAAATCTAGTATAAAAGCTTTTAAAAGTTTATTTTGCTGTTTTTATGTATATTAAGCTAACAGCAATAAATAATGGGTCAACTTTTAAAAATCTTATAATTCTTATAACTCTTTATGTAAAGCCAATTATGGTCAAGAAATGCTTTTATTTTTATTTCTCAAAAGCTATTTATTTTCAGTGTCCTGTTATAGTTTCCAAAATGTTACTCATTGGCCAATTACCTGAAATCATCTTTGGCTTCTGTTGCATTTTGGCAATTTACAAAAGTCAAAATACTACTTTGTTTTTATTTTGCTACATTCATTACAAAATATTTTACATTCATTCCAATTACATCAGGTGATGAGCATTAACATGCTCTAAAACCATTATTTAAACTTTATAAGCTTATTTATGCCATTTCTCAAGAAGAAAAAAATTAGCATTTTTAAGGCATAATGTGCCTTTAAATTTGTTAACAACAAATTGTTTTTGTGATTGAAATCGATTGTTTACAGTGAGTTTTTGTATGACAGTGACGCCATTTAATGATTGTACTTTGTTATAAATGAAAGTAGTTTTGAATAGATACAAAATCCTTCTCTATTACATTAATAATATTACACTATGTGTTCTATGGTTTCATATTGTACCCGTTTTCACCATGACAGTTTCAGTATGAGCATAAGTTTGTTTTGAAAGCTGAGAATATTCCGGGTACAATAATTTTTGAAAACATGACTTTTTTGTTGCATTTTAAAGTGTTTTTTCTTTTAGATTGCCATTAGTCATGTTAATTGTGTCTACTTTGTTCACTGCTAATTTGATACAAATTAATTAGAATGATAAAAACTGTTGATATCACAATTGTTTACATGTTGTAGGGAGGTACGTTGGTAGACTATGATGGCAAATTGAGGTTGCTGGAAATTGCTCAAGTCCCGAAAGATTACGTAAGTAATAGATGGATTTCTATTTGGCACAAATATATGATAACATTCTAGTGCTATTTGTTTTAAAGGAATTGATGATTGTTATAAATAAAATGATACATTTAGTTATAAGAAAATGGTTATTATATGAAAATGATTAAGAACATTCTAAAGAGAATTGGCAGGGAGATTTAAAGATTATATTATTTATGACAAGTTCCCTTGTGAGGATTGTTATATTTAGATGATGTGTATATAATTTATAATTTACTGTATAACTTAAGCTGTGTAAGAGTATACAGTGTAAGTATGTCACCAGGTATAGACAAAATATCCACAGTACTGCATAATGCTTGACACAAAATTGTCCAGAATCACCATTGTATCGGTATTTGAGGCTAGTATGTGATGTTATGTGCAATTTCTTTTGAATAGAGCTTAAAAATTTCAAAGAAATTGTATACTTTCAATGCAGCTAATTTGCATAGATTGGGGAAATAAAATTCTTTAGCTCTTTATGATGGAACCCTTTACAAAAGCTGGGAATGGGAAAAGTGATTGTATTACACGAGCCAACCCGAATTAACCTGCTGGAAACTGGTGATTAAAAAAAAATTTTAGGCCCGAAGGGTGAATTTTAATTGGACCAAAATTTTTGGCCCTCCTTTCTGGCCCCGTTTTTGGCCACCAAAATTCAAACATTAATCATGTTTTTAAAAAACCTGTAACTTTGGGTTTAATTTGGTTAAAGGATTCTAGAAAAATTTTTGGAAAAGAATGCCTTACCCATTCAAGACCATGTCATTTTTTTTAAAAGGAAATTTTCAAGGGTTTAATTTAAAAAGGGAGGGTTCAAGGTTTTTATATTTAATGTCACATTCATTGGTTTCCCAGGAAAACCCCTGTAACTTTTTTAAAAGCATAAAAAAAGGTTTTAAATAAACTTTGCCCCAAATTTTTGCATTCTCGCATGAAGAGTTTGAAGGTACACATTAAAGGATGTTAAATTAACTTTTCATAAATTTCTTCCACATCAGGATGATGTGACGTGCCCAAGACCCATGTCCCTACCTTCAAGGTCAAGGTTAAGAAACTTTTTCGGGGCATTTGTCACTTTTGCATGACAGCTCTTGTTGTAATATAATATTGAAATATCCTATCACTTTGAATGGACTGTTTTAAAAGCCAGACCAAAGTCAGGGTTGAATCATTCACTGAAATTTCAAAGTTAAGGCCGGACAATGTTGTAATTCAAGAATATTGGTGTAGTCACTGTAGTGTGGTTGAGACTATTGGTGAAATAGTTAAAAGTGCTAGCTAGAAATTGTTAGGTTATGATCTAATGCCATTGACAACATTGCCAGATGACCACTGTCATTTTTGCTTTTAAAGATGGTTTATAATTTTACAGGTTGATGAATTCAAAAGTGTCAGCAAATTCAAGTAAGTTTGTTTTGTATATCATATCATTATAGCTGATCATTGGCTCATGTTAAGTGTTTTAACCCTATTGTGAAAAATGGCCGTTTTCACTGAAAAGCCTCCTGTTACAAGTTCAAACTGCTATGAAACTATGAACAATGCTTCAATACTAATCAAACTTGGCACAAATGTTGACTGGACCATTGCCTTTGTAACAACATGCTCAGTCTTAAATTTCCTGTTACCATGGCAATGAGGGGACATCTCAAAATTGCCAAAAATCACTATTTTGCCTCGATTTTTTCCATCAAAATTTATTTCAAAGTGCTGCAACTTCTCAATGGATTGAGATAGAGTCAAAGGCTTTTCAGCTTTGGTTAAACGTTACATTATGGTCGACCTGGGGTCATTTTTAGCCTCTCACAAGTCCAAAATTTTTTTGGCGATGAGGGGGACTCCGCCCCCTTCAAACCCCCCCTAACTTTCTGGCAATCCCCTGATGTATCTTTTGGATGGGGGGCGGCGCCGAAAAAGTGCTCAATTTTTTTAGCAACATTTCTCAATCGAAAACTTATGTTTAGGGCCCAAATAGGACATTTTTTCACTATTTGAGGCCCCAAAAAGGGGGGGGGGTCGAAAGTGCGTTGTTTCGCGTATATATGTGGTAAAGGGTTAAACAGGAGAAATTAAAAGAAATAAGCTTGATATTCTAAGTCTGAAATAATTGATTACAAAATATGAGATAAAAATATGGTCTGTTGAATGGTTTGAAAAAGAAAAGAAAAAATAAACTTCTGATTTGACTACAACACTAAAATAGTAAAGTATGCTGTAAAGGTCTTGAAGCTACTCACTTATGAAGACCATCAAGACTTATTCTATGCATTAGTGGCTTGTGATATAAATATGTAGAAATGTGATTTTTCAAAGAAATTGTGATAACTAAGCATAAAATGTTAACAGAAAGAAGACAAGCAATATTTATTTTACTGTTTTTCAATATATAAAATAATGTTCATTTAATACATTGATTTTCTCTAAACCCAGTATATGTTCTATGTCAAATCAAGTTATTTAGGAAATTTATTAAACTACACGAGAAATGGTAGCTTAAGAGAAGGTGACAATATGAGCCATGTCATGACAAAACCAGCATAATGCGTTTGCTACCAGCATGGATCCAGACGAGCCTGCGCATGCGCGCAGTCTGATCAGGATCCATGCTGTTCGCTTACAAACCCTATTACATGTAGAGAAACTGATAGCGAACAGCATGGATCCTGATCAGACTGGGCAGATTCGCAGGCTGGTCTTGATCCATGCTGGTCGCAAACGCACTATTTTGGTTTTTTCATGACTTGGCTCATATATTTTCCCCCATTAACATATGTTTTTTATAACTTTGAAGTCTATATAAAATTGATATTACAGGATATTTAATACCAACAATCTGTGGATAAATCTTCAAGCTATAAAGCGTGTATTAGAAGAAAGGACATTACACATGGAAATTATTGTCAATCCAAAGGTAATGTTTTAACACTTAACATTTGTTTCATATGATAGTTTTTAGATTCATGTATTAAATCTTTGTTTCCTTTCTGATAAAAAGCCAACCCATATGTTTCCTTATGCCAATATGCCATATAACACATATGCCAATTTTCAAAGTAAAGATATGAATAAACGAGATTTGTCACACTTTAAAAAAAAGACAATGACTCCTAACACTTATTGCTGATCATGTCAGAAAGCCTCAGTAGAGTCCCTTTAAGATTCAGTTAGTGTGCATTTTTATTTCCATAAATTATTTGAAACATTGATTTATAATATTTTGCAGACGTTGGACAATGGTTTAAATGTGATACAACTGGAAACAGCTGTAGGTGCTGCTATAAAGAGTTTTGATGGAGCTATGGGTAAGTGAAAGATTTTTGGAACTTATAGTGATTAGCCTTTGCCACCAGTTAAGAGCTAGGCCAGTCTGAATAGCCATGCGAAAGTGATAATAAGCAGTTATTAAAATGGGAGCTAGACAAGTATATTTAAGAATTCAACATGTTATGGTTTAATACATGTAGTTTTAAGTAATTATCCTGGTTCTGATATGTCTGTACATATCTCATTTGAGCCGCGTCACGCCAAAACCAACATAGTGCGTTTGCAACCAGCATGGATCCAGACCAGTCTGCGCAGTCTGATCAGGATCCATGCTGTTCGCTTTCAAACCCTATTACAAGTAGAGAAACTGATAGCGAACAGCATGGATCCTGATCAGACTGCACGGATTCGCAGGCTTGTCTGGATCCATGCTGGTCGCAAACCCACTATGTTGGTTTTGTCGTGACACAGCTCATTTGCTTTTAAGTTTTGTTTATAGATTGTATATTTAGTGGGAAAGTGTATATTTAGTGGGAACGTATAAATTTGCCCTTGTCTGTATGTCTGTTTCACTTTTATTCTGCCACAATGTCCATTCTAAGACTGACAAAACAGGGGCATCATTGTCCTATGGACACATTTCTAGTTCTTTCTCTCGAACAGACCCTTTGCTTCAAACTCTGGTGTAGACTCTAAAAGCCCAGTTTTTCCATGCCCCTACATACACTTTAAAAGTGTTTTGATTACCATTAATACTCAAATATTTTGTACATTTCCTAAATTATACATGTATGTACAGGTATTCTGAATGAGTCAGTTAAAATATATTAACAGCTCCTTCCCTTTTCACTTTTCTCTGAACTGTCTATTTTCACTTATGTCACATGTACCATTTATTGTTTGATCCACGTGCTTTTTTCATTATCTCTCACTATTTTTTTATATATATATACTTTTCAAATTATTCAGGTATAAGCAATATTAAGGAAATAACAGAAAATTGAAACATACATGACAGAGCGAACATAGATACATGTATGTGCTGCAAAGGCAACTTGGCAGAACAAGGAACATTCATATAAACAAAACAAACTGAAAAATAAAATAAAATTATTTTTTTTTTTGTGCAGGGTGAGAGAGGGCTTGGGTGGGGAGGAGAGCAAATGTCCGCCCTATTAATTCGTTAGTGGTGGCAAATGTCTGCTCTTTCTTAACAAATGAGGGACAAATGTTCTCCACAACAACAAAGGGGAGCAAAAAGCTCTAGTATCGCAAAATAAAATAAGTTAGATAGTTAAATGTAAGCTTGGAAGTCTATGATCTTTTAACTTGTAACCTGCCGGAACTGAAAGTATATGTTTGCCACCTGTATAGAGCCAGGCCAACTTAAATTTTTTTCATTGTGTTATCCATAAAAAAATAAAAACAAAAGTCAAATTTGGCCTGCAACATTTTCAATATTGTCCTTTTGGGCATTCTTTTGGGATCCCATTTTTCTCTATTTTAAGAAATACAACAGAAAATAGATTGATGTAATGGAGTATGTTTTTATTTACATTTAAGGATTCAATAAGAAATTGTTTACACAATGATAACACCATGAAACAGATTGTAGCCTACAAAGAAATGTAACATATTTTTACCGTTCCTGTCTGTATTGTTTAGAGTAACTAACATATCCTACAAGCTGTCACAAACACCCACAAACAACATGCATTCACTCTCCCTTTTATTATAATCAAATTAAGATTTTGAATACACCCTTTTACCTGATATGGGTGTGTATGGTTCACATCAACAATATTTGTTATTAATTTTTACGCACAAACCTATTTTAATTGTCATTATTTTTACCATGGCAACAGATTGATAAGGATGTAGACTATTGAACACTATGCCTGCATGTACATGTAGCAATTATACATGTTTATACTTTAACTTTGATCAATTTGACCTTTATTTGCTTAGAGTTAAAATATAATTTCAGCTTATAAGGAATTTTGAAGTATATAAGATTAGAGTTGTTTCAGATCATCTGTAGCTTATCTTATAGAAATTGGATTTTTATAATCTTATCCATCAAAAGTAAAGTTGTTGTTTTTTATTCTGTAAGGAAAAGGTTCAAATAAAAAAGTTTCATACATTTCACTTAAACATTTTTCACAATTGTTTCTTAACTTAAACTTTTTCACAATTGTATCTTAACTTATACGTTTTTCATATTTGTTTCTTGAAAAAAAAATAAGAAAACTTTATTTATTTTAAAATCTATGATTGCATCAGAAATTGTCTCATTTTTTTTATGTCATTAATTCAACATATCCTGGTATTAAGGAGTTGATTTAATGAGGCTATTGTTTGGCATTAGAGTATTCAATGACTTTTTGTCAATAATTATTGGATGCCAAAGTATACTCGGTTCCTATAATATCAAGGGTTCTATGATATCAAGGTATTTAAATTTTTTGTGACTGCTAGTAAAAGCAACACATGATGATGCTAATATTTGTAAAACTTGCACACTAGATTCATTTTCATCTGCCAATAAATTTAATTTGGTGAGTAATGAAATAATTATTTTTCACTTGATACTGATATTTATTTGTGTGGAGTTTACCTTTGGTCAGACGAGTCCCCTATTGCTGGTATAATTAATGATGATTTGTTTGATTTATTATTTGATGATGTATCATATTTTGAAACGCTAGGAACAGTACTGATTGCTGGGGATTGGAACTCACGAGTTGGTAGCCATAATGATTTTATTTCCTTTGATGTTTGTAATGATCAGCTAGATTTTGTTTTTTATACGCCTGATATTGCTCAAGGACGGGCCTCAGAAGATAATGTATGCAATGCTCGGGGGTTTCGTATGCTTGATTTTTGTAAGTCCACATCATTGCGAATAGCTAACGGTAGAATTGGTGATACCAGTTCGTTCACATTTTTTAACCAACGATCATGTAGTACAATTGACTATTTGGTTTTGAATGATAAAGATTTTAAGCGGATTAATACATTTCAACTGTTACCGTTTAACGAATACAGTGACCATGCACCACTCTTCTTTGAAATTAATATTAATTCTTTGATAAGAAGTCAAAATATAAATGATTATGAAAATACCTCGGAGTATACATTTTATAAATGGTCAGATGATCACAAGATAAACTTTAGACGTGATATCATTTCAAAGCTTCCCGAGTTTAATGCACTTCTACTTAGTAACGGTACATCGGAGAGCCTTTCTATTGATAATTTAGTTGAGGGTTTTTCCTCGTTGATTGAAGAAGTGGCCGAACCGTACTTTAAACATTCGCGGATATCATGCAATATGCATGATACATCATGTAATAAAGAGTGGTTTGATCGCGAGTGTGTAGAATCAAAGAAACTGTATATTTTAGCGCTTAATTCATTTAATGGAAACAAATCAATAGATAACAGACAATTATTTTTTGAGCGTAAACGTTCTTATAAACTTTTAATGCGCAAGAAAAAAAGAGTGTTTAAGACTAAAAAGTCGCGCGAATTATGCGAACTTCGTAAATCAAAACCAAAGCAATTTTGGAATCATTTTAAGCCAAAACTTGAAAATTGTTCAAACGATGTAAAACCTGAAGAATTTCGTGAATATTTTTCTAGCTTGTTCAATGATATAAGATCTACACGTATAGAAGATGTAGAATGTTTTATCTCTGAAACAGACTTTAATATAAATAATCCATCTTTTGAATGCCTGAATACGCCTATTACGTCTAATGAAATACTAATGGCAATTAAAGATCTTAAGCGAAATAAGGCACCATGTCCTGCCGATAATTTATTAAATGAGTTTTTCATTGAGACGTCCGACATACTTATCGGTCATATCACTGACTGTTTTAACACTATATTTAATTCCGGTCATTTCCCAAAAGTATGGTCTTATGGTTACATTGTACCATTATATAAAAAGGGAAATAAGAGGGTACCTAATAATTATAGAGGAATAACATTAATTAGCAATTTTGGTAAATTATTTACAAAGGTATTAACAAAACGGGTTGAAAATTGGGCGCGTGATAACAATATACAGTCTGACGCACAATTCGGTTTTCGTTCAGGTGTAAGCACCGTTGATGCAATTTTTGTTTTGCACTCTTTAGTGGAACGAATACTATCCCAAAATTTACGTCTTTATTGTTGTTTTATTGACATTAAAAAAGCCTTCGATTCAATCTATCGTAATGCTCTTTGGTATAAACTTTTTAATCTCGGACTAGATGGTAAATTGATCAGGATATTTAGAGATATGTACTCTTCGGTGTCTTCCTGTGTTAAGCACTGTAATACTTTGTCAGACTTTTTTGATATTTCTATTGGTCTAAGACAGGGCCAAAATAATTCACCGATTTTGTTTGCTTTATTTCTGGAAGATCTGGAACAATACTTAAGGAATGATGATAGTAATAACGATAAGGGTTTCACTTTTTATGATATATGTATGATTATTTTACTTTTTGCCGACGATATGGTCATATTTGGAAAGTCAATTGAAGAATTGCAATCGAATCTAAATAACTTAAAGCTTTATTGTGATAAATGGGGCCTAGAGGTCAACACAGATAAAACTAAAACAATGGTTTTTAGGAAGAGGGGAAGCATCAGAGAAAATGAAAAATGGTCATACGACAATACTTTATTAGAGACTGTTGATAACTTCAACTATTTGGGTGTAGTCTTTAATTATACGGGGTCTTTTCAACTTCATAATCAGTATGCTATAGGAAAAGCTATGAAAGCCCAAAATGTTTTACTTCGTAATATTAACAAATATGATGTGACCCCTTCCGTTTCACTCCAACTCTTTGATGCGTTTGTTTCCTCAACACTAAATTATTCTTGTGCAATATGGGGTTTTACAAAATCTAAGGATATAGAAAGGATTCACTTGAAATTCTGCAAGTCATTGTTAGGCGTAAAACACAGTACATGTACTGCAGCAGTTTATTTGGAGTTAGGCCGATATCCTCTTTATGTTCAAAGATATGTTCAAATAATAAGATTCTGGTTACATATTCTTCATTCAAATAATAATATCTTAAAGTCTGCTTTTTATTCATCAATAAGTCTTCATGATAATGGATATAACTCCTGGGCAGCTAAGGTTCATTCTATTTTAAATGAATATGGATTCACAGATGTATGGCTCAACCCATTGCAATACAGCCCAAAAGAGTTTGTTGAAATATTCAAACGTAGATTAGTTGATTGTTTTATACAAAAGGTAAATGCAGACATTCAATCTAGTCCACTTTTGTCTAATTTGTATGTACATTTGATTGACAAATTTGAACCTGCATTTTATCTTGATAATTTATTCATTAAATCCTACAGACAAAATTTATCTCGTATTAGATTATCTTCTCATAAATTAAAGATAGAGGCAGAGAGGTATGGTCCTAATAGAAATCCACGTTCTGAAAGAAAATGTGAATTATGTAATCTTCAAGAAATTGAGGATGAATTTCATTTTATTATCATTTGCAATTGTTATACTGCATTACGTAGGGAGTTCATTAAGCCATATTTTTACAGAAGGCCGAGTATGTTTAAATTTTTGCAGCTTTTGAAGTCAAAAAATAAATCCGAATTAATTGGACTTGCTAAATACATCATCTTTGCTACTAAGCGTCGATATGACCTTATTAATATTACCATTTAAAGACTATTTTTACCAGTATGCGCATGATAATTTTGCTCATTAAAAAGCGACAGTATGGTATTTATCATGTAATTTTAATCGTTGATTCACTACATATTAAATATATGAAAGTCATTTTTGCATTTTTTTTTAGTAAGAGTAATGCCAACTTTGTATTGTTTAAATATGGATTTAAGAACATTCTCCATATATACTTTTGTTTAACAATGTTTATTTTCAATATGATCGTACCATGACTTATGATTTATGTATTACGTGTTTCTTATTGTGACTATGTACAAATATGTATACGTCAATAAATTATATCTATCTATCTAATGTATTTGTGGCAAGAAAACTATTTTATAAAACCTTCATATTTGACTACCATTTTCCTTTATGGTTTTTACACAGTCAATTAAAATATGTTACAAACACATATACTGACATATAGTCTGTTCATATAGTTTTAATTTAACAGCAAGTTAACTGTTGGAAGTTTTTCACAACTTAACTTGAAAGTTTTGACCCATCTATCCTTCCATACTTGCTTTTTTTGGGATTACCTTGATACCATAGTAACCTCCTCTGAAATTACCCAAAATGGCAGACATTGAAAATATTCTAAAAAAAGTCATTTTTATTGGTTCTTTTGAAATAATTTTTTGACAAACAGTTCTGGAAAAGGTTCACTTATAAGATGGACGAAAAATCTCACTCTCTTATGATATTTATATTTAAATATTTTCCGATAACGTTAAGTACCTTGATATCATAGAACCCCGGGCTAAATCATGTCCATTCTAAAGTATGGCACAGCAGTATCTGTATAAAATGAAGTTTATAATACAACACTTGCCTTTACTAGTGAAAGTGACAAGTTGTTAGACTTTCAGTTTCAAATTGATATGTAAAAATGCCAATGTGACATTAAATAAAGTGTGTGCATAAGTGTCCTATGAACACATTCTTTTTTCCTTTTTTTTGTTAGAAAACATTTTTCTGACAATTTTACTTTCCTACTATAGAGGTGATTAAATGTGTACATGTTGAATGTGTTGGGAAGGTTGTCTAAAAATCCATAAAAACTTCTTTATCTTACTCCTTTCTTTTCAAAATGTCAACATGTTTTGCAAATCAATTAGCAACTTGACTGGGAGACTTTACTGTAATAACTATTGCTTTATCTCTTAACCGTTATTTTTTTGTATTTTTAATGAAACAATTTCACTGTAAACATGTCTCTGAAGGAGAAGTAGGATAGTCCGTACTTTACAACATAAGCAAGTTCTTTGTTGGGGTTTTACCACATGCTGGGACTGGAAATATTTTTCTGGAATGTGTGTTCCATTTCATGTAAGTCTTGATCAATTTACTTGTCTTCAAAATTTCAAGTCATTCTCTCACCCCATTTGTTTTCCAGAATAATAATTTTTTTTGTGCAACTGAAAAGTTGATAATTTGACCTGAAAATTTGAACACAAGTTCTTTGTGATGATCTTCATCAAATAGTATGCAATTCTTGGAAAAAATTTTCAGTCCCGTCAGGCCAAAAAGACCTCAGATGAGTCTCTTTAATGAAAGTAATGACAACAACATGGAACAAAATGTTGATGATGATATTGATGAAAAAGAGCTTGCCATAAACACTTATACATTGTTTATCTTTTATAGGTATAAATGTGCCACGTCGGCGTTTCTTGCCTGTGAAAACAACATCTGATCTTTTGATTATTATGAGCAATTTGTACAGTTTGAAAGCTGGTTCCCTGGAAATGAACCCAAAAAGGTCATTCCCATCTGTACCTCTCAGTAAGCTGGGCTCACACTTCACCAAAGTAAGTTCTTAGTTATTTTATTCTCATTTGTGGGAGTTATTTATTTAATATGTTTTTTTGATTTGTTACATATGTAAATTCTGCTACATTGCAACAGAAGATACACTTTTGTTTCTTTTTTAAAGCATCTACTATATATCACATAGTCTACAAAAGGTTTTGTGTGGAATGTGATATATCTTATCTTATCTTTATATATTAACAGGTGAAGGATTTCTTGTGGAGGTTTGCCAGTATTCCTGATATACTTGAGTTGGATCATTTAACTGTATCAGGAGATGTGACGTTTGGAAAGAATGTTACATTGAAGGTAAATATTTGAACAACGATTTTACATAGGATATTATATACCCCCTTGGGCTATGCGCATTGCAAAACATTAAATCTATGTATTTTCCAGTACCATTTTAAACACCGTCTTTCCAAATATTGATTTTCAAATCACACCGTAAAGTCTGTTACACAGTTTCCACAAGTAACTTAGTGATGTATTAATGTACAGTGTACACAGTTGCTATGTGAATCCTAGTGACAACCAGTAACCATGTTAGCAGTTATGGTTTACAGATTTACAGTGCTAACAAATTTATTTTTACCTGTATTTTACCACACTTAATGGGCTTTTTGTTAATCTCTCAGTTTACACTCAATTATTCATCATTTTTAGGGCAAATTTCAAATCAAACCATGTATTATAAATTACTTTTTTATTGTTATTTGTATTTGTTTAAATCTTAATTAAGAAAGAGTATGAATAAAAAATTTGCTAAATGATTGAAACGATTGTTGGCAAAACTTAGACTAAATAAATGAAAACAGTACATGTACTTATGTTGATTTTGTTAAAACGATTCTCTGGAAATGTACTGTTGACATAAAAACAGAATATCTCAAAAGTTTTTTGTTGTTTTTCGTTGTTTTTGTTTTTTGTTTTTTTATTTATATTTAATAAGAGTGAAATAAGAAATATTTCTTGAATCAGATGCTGTGGTTCTGGTCATAATATTGAAATGTGTCCATTGTAAAAGTCTTAGTTAAGTTAAATGGTGGTTTATATAAATAATGCTATTGTTTATATTTCAGGGGACCGTTATAATTATAGCAAATCACGGAGACAGAATTGATATTCCATCTGGTGCCATACTTGAGAACAAAATTGTGTCAGGAAATCTCAGAATTCTTGATCATTAAAGGGAGACAAATCATAGTCATAATACCATGGAAACATAATTATCAAAAAAAATACCACTTGGTATGAAAGATATACATATACACATATAAGAATGGGTTGTAATAGGAGAAAATTGCAAAGAATCATATGCCCCTGTACCTCAATTGGTAGAAATGGTAAGAGCGAGTGTTGTTTACTTGTAATAAAAATGTTTTTCACTTGGACAGATATCCTACATTATTCAGAAAAGGAATAATTTTTTGGTTGTGTCTTTTTAAAACAAAAAAAATGTTACCACAGAATGTCCATGAAAGATTTTTACACACACATGATAAATGCTCCTTACACTTAATGCATGTGAAGCTCTCTTTTAGTTTAGACAAAACACCCAAATGCTTAATGTGTGTGTAGTAATTTTTTCTTAACATGAAATCCTTTGCTTAAATACACAAAATGTATATAAAGAAATTTTTGCATGTTTGGCTAATCTTCGCATCAGTATGTTTATCTTTAATAAGTTTATCAATTCTCCCACAGTAAGTTTATCAATTCAGTTATTTTTTGCTATAATTGTAAATCATGATATGATTATGTCATGTTTATTCATGCTCATTGTAAGTTTATTTTAACATTCATGTATAATTGTTGATGAATTTGTATGAAATGAAGGTAGATGTTAAATTTATAGCATTTAATTTACAAAGTTTTAACCTGTATTGTTTATAAATGTGATGGTATTACTGCAAGTTCATTACGGGATATATGATTTTTTTTTTGAGCATCTGTGTGTGTACATGTTTGTGCTATATTTGATATTATAGTCTGCTAGTTAGAGTAGTAGGATAAGTGTAATTTAAGCTTACATAATCTGTTTTTAAAAGAACTGAAAGCTAACAAATTGTTATTTATAAGTATAATAATGATATTACAAAAAAACTACACTGAAGAACTTTAAATTGGAAAAAAAGAAGACATTTTGCACAGTTTACTCATAAGTTGTCAGTATTGTCACACAATATTGCGATTTTTCAAGAATTTTCTAAATAAATAACAATACATGTAATGAAATTGTAGCTATAACAAAAACATTCATCCTGTGTTATATTTTATATAAAGCTTAATTAGATGAAATGAACAATCAATACAAACCTGTAGGAAAGTTATATCATCTTTGAAAGATGTCTTTCTTCCCAGATCATGGAAGATAGATATGTAAATTTTTGTTACATTTGTAACTTAATTAAAATTTAATTAGTTAGTAATTATTATAAGCCAATTATGATTTGTAATAATTGGTGTTATATTAATTAGGTACAGTTTTGACAGATTGTTACATGTTAAAGACAACCAAAGATGTTTATGTGTGTTACAAAATTGTAATATCATTTATTTACAGAGTTGTGATATGATTAAGGGATTTTATTTCTATGGATAGGTAATTTTGAAATTATAACACTGATTTACAGATTTTGCATATGGGTTTGTTATATATACGGTATGATAAAGCTTTGCGTTACAGTGAAATAACCAGATTTTTACCAATTTCATGAGACTAGAAATTGTGTTCTAGTATTTGAAATGTCAAATTTTCCATTACTCTTGATATGACTTGCTGTACTCATATAATAGAGTTGATTTTACACCAAAGAAACAATCAAGCACCTCTTATTTTATATGTGCACAAAAATAGATTTATTATTGTACATCTATGCAAGATCTGAAATAGCATAATCTAGTAATAATTGGACCTCATTTACATTCTAAAACCTCTCCAATATCTTACATACCTTTCACTTCTACTTTGTTTGCTATTTGTTCTGTCACAGATATACTTGTATCTAGTAGGAATAGTAAATTGAAAATTTATTAAATTTACATATGTCTTTAAAAAAAAACACTAGTCAAATATCTGCAGGATATAGTGTGTGTTCTTTCTAGAACTAATGTCGGAGGAATGAGTCACAAGGTATATTTCTACGGGCATTTTTGTAAGGGTATAGTAATGGTAAAATTTAGATTTGCCATCTTTTTACTGTAAATACATGTTCTGTGATTACAGGCTTTAAATAAAAAGTGTAATTATTTTGCATAAGAAAATGTACATGTTCATGTGATTTTATATGACAGTCTCGTATGTTAATGTATGAAGTTGTTTTTGAGAGAGTGATACAGTATTATTTCAGATACTAGAAAGAACGGTTACAGGAATACTTTAATTCATTTATGAATATGAATATAAATCATATTTCTGTCTATGCGACACAGAACATTGTGAGAGTTTTTATTCAAGAGAATACAGAATGATTTAATTAGGAAATAGATATCAATTCTGAGTGCATTGTTGTAGAATAATGCACGGTTTGAGTTCAAATGCGTAGTAATATAATCACGAAGGCCGATAGGCCTGAGTGATTAATTACAAAGTATTTGAACGAAAAACGTGCATTATTAAACAACAATGCATGAAGAATAGATATCTATTTCCATTCTAACACGTCAAGAAAAAATATAATTACTATTATAAAGTTGGACTTTATGTTTGGTGGATAAATTTGTTTTCACCTCAGAGTTTCCAATAGAAACGTTCGTTAAAGGCCGTTCCAGTTGGTTGAAAAAAACTGTCGTTAATTCTACCGTGTGTAGAAACATTTTGAGAATAACGAATTTTGAAAACGTTGATAAAACTTTGTTTGTTTATTTTATTTCAGTCTATAATTTTCCAAGCGAAAAACAAAGATTTAAAATTGAAATAAATGTAAAACTTAACTCGTCTGCGACGTTAAAATAGCGTACTTGATTTTGATTGTATGGCACGTGCTATTTGGCGCTACATTGTGACGTCACGTGAACAACACTTTAAACGTCTGTACAGCGTTAACGACTGCATTAAAGATATTGGTGTTCGGATTCATTTTCTTAGTTAGACCATTTTCTATCATTCTAGATAGTTTTCACAACAAAATTCGACAAAAAATTGTTTTTATTTATCAGATTTTTAAACAAAATGGCGCCCACAATGTGAAAATATACAGGGAGATAATAAGAACGGCGAGTGCATTGTTGTAGAATAATGCACGCTTCCGGCCTTCTTTGTCTATATAGAAAAATTTCCGATAGTGTTAGAATGATTGTTATTGAACACTTGACACAGTAACTTACAGAACAGATCATAGAAGGTTTTCATCTAAGCCTTTAATGTTTGTTATTTTTAATGCATTGTTTTAATTCACATGTGAAGCAAATTCATTGCTAAATGTATTTATGCGCATGTTGTTGTTGTTTTTAACGATGTCATCTCTTTAGTGACTTGAGATTTTTGTGTCCATTATTGCCCTGTGAGTGCTTTGTTTATTAGTCCAAAACAAAATTATAATATGGTTCTGGTTATTTTCAGAAAGAAAAATTAGGGTAGCTCTGAAAACAGTCTTACCTCAGATTTATTGGAATTTAGTGGTGCATTATACCACTATGCTTCCTTTTCTAAGAAAATGTTAAAAATATCAGAAGTACTAAAAAAATCTAGGAAAGGTAGATTTACCAGAATCTTATTATCACTTTCTTTTGGCCTTGAATGTATATGAATGTATAACCATATACATTGATTTTTTGAAATCATTTTACTGTTTGGGAATAGAATTAATATATACTATATTGTTGTTCGTTATTTTATTGGTCATAGCACCTTTTAGAGCTACTATAGTGAGTGTGCAGTTATAGTGGTGAAGGAAGACTTCAGGTGTCCATGTGTCTACTATCTGGCAGAAACATTCTTATCCTTCAGTATTACTACTCAATCTCAGGAAAGATTAACAAGTACAATATTCTGGTACTACAGACTAGAACTGCCATTTCCCAGGCCGAGATACCTCCTGCATGCCACTTTATCGCAGGGGCAATATGTTGATAAACCATATTGATTTAGAGTTGCCCGCTGAGTCTGAGAAAAAAAATAAGTATGGAAAATAACAATAGACAATACCTAATATAGGTTGTCTGTACAATCCTATTGGTCTATGGAGTTCTTAGCTGATACCTCAAATACTTTTTGAGTAATGCTCTGGTCAACCAAAACCTAATAGACAAGCTGTCTCCAGTTTACTCTCTGCACAAATGGTTGATATCAATGAGCAATATCTGCATATTTGAGTCGTTTCATGACAAAACCAACATAATGGGTTTGCAACCAGCATGGACCCAGACCAGCCTGCGCATCCACGCAGTCTGATCAGGATCCATGCTGTTGGCTATCAGTTTCTCTACTTGTAATGGGGTTGGTAAGAGAACAGCATGGATCCTGATCAGACTGCGCGGATGCGCAGGCTGGTCTGGATCCATGCTGGTCGCAAACCCATTATGTTGGTTTTGTCATGACACAGCTCATTTCTAGAACAGCTAGAAGAGAATATTCTTGATACTCCGGTCTTATTGTGACAACTTGTAATGTTACTGTTTCACAATTTCAAATAATATGTATCAGAATAGTTTATTGTTCTTCCCAAATCCCTTATATAGTCTGAAGATATCTTCAGGTTATGGTCTCATTGCTTCATTTAATGACAAATTGTATATATCAAAATTTAAACTCTTGCATTTGCCCAATCTCTGTGAAATCCTTGTTATGATCTGCCTGTCTGTCACACTCTTGTTATGATAATAACGTGAAATGTACATGTATCCAAGGCATTGGATTGAAACTTTACAGTGACAGAAGGCACCAGTAAGAGGAAGTGCTGTATCAAAAACCATAACCCTACATTGCTTTATTTTTCAATTACATGTATCTCCTTTCATATAAAATTTTAATAATGCTTGTCCAGGTGATCAATGATATTCTACTGAAACTTCAACTTTTCTTTACTTGACACAGTTATTGTTGAGTGAGAGAAGTGCCATGTCAAAGAACAATAACTTTACATTACTTTTTTAATTATCTCCCTGTATAATTCTACATGTAAATAATTGTTGTTCAGAGAATAGTGTGAAAAAGTATTGAAGAAATTTTACAAAAATAAAAATATTAACACATTGATTAAGACCAGTAACAGACAGTTCAGTGTCCAAGAAAAATAATGATTCCTAACTTTATTCATCTTATCATCTCCCTTTATTACCGGGTCACTTAGGTCAAGACTGTTGCTTAAAAAAAGATTTTTATAAGTTTTGGCTCGTACTCTCTCTATATGTGCATAGTTCGGAGAGGCCTAGGGTATCGATCCCCTGCATCATGTAAGACAGTTAGTTTGCATACTTTCTACAGCTCAGGGTTATGTTTAAGGCAGGACGATTAAGCTTGTATGAAGTTAGCTGCTGATTTCCTGACTGAAGCCAAGGGGAATGACCCTACAATGTAGATGTGATGATCCGGAATGGTACTAGGGTGTGTGAGCCTAAAAGGCTACATGTATTTTCATACTTGGTAATACTTTGGAATGTCCAGAATAATTGGTCATTCAGATTACAAAATAGATTTCTGTATTTTAACACATTTGCTCGGCCTTTATCCAATGTAGCCGGTCCATTGAAATACATCAACAAACATGCAGGTTCAGATAGCATCTATCATTTTAAGGATATTTCTAGTTATCTTGAGCTTGCATGGTATTAACTCTACAACAAAGTCTCCTTTACATTATAGAGTTACAGTACATAACAATACCATGATAACTAAAACAACAAGTCTGGGGTTCCAGACACTCAGTGCCTGAAAGGGCAAATCGACACTAAGCTAACAATAAAACAAGTCTGACACAAGTTTGTTTTTTTATTTCCCAAGCAAACAAAGAAGGAATTTAGATAACAAAGCACAAATGAGACATAAACAAAGACTTCTATTTAACATTACATCAGATGTTTCGTATAAAATGTAACAAAAAAATTGAATTCTTACAATAAAGACCAACTTTATTGTACTTATCTACCACTTTATCTATTAATTCTAAGATGTCTAAGGATAGATTAATGATATATATTATTATAGATATTTATTTATTTCTGTCTCAAGTAAAAATTCATTGCTTTTTTAAGACAAAAAATAATGACTAAGATGAATAAATATCCTCTAAACAAATTGGTGTGAAGAAAATTAAACCAAAAAAAAAAAAAAAATGAAGTATAAATTGCTTTGACTTTGGCATGAAGGGTATTTGCAAATTATTATAATTAAATAATGAAACATGTTGAATACAAAACTCAGCAACTTTAAGTATGTTTCAATTCATCTCCTTATACTTTTTTCTGCCAAAAAAATAGGCAATAGTTATGTTAAGTCAAACAGATTTCAAATTCTGACTTTAAAGTGACTAGCCTTCATTTCTATGAGGATTTTATCTCTCCCTAAATTTTGTCTTTTATGAACAGCTTTGTAAGAAATTATTGATACAGGCAAATAGGTTTGTATGAAATAACCTCGGGCAGCACTTTGTGTATTATTTCAAGCTAAAGTTAGCTCTATAGATAACTTGTGCATTTATTTTAAGCACAAATAAACCCTACAAATAACCTTAATTCGCACTTAGTACATAATTTCGAGTACAAATAAGCGCTATCAATAACTGTAAGTGCATAATTTCATGAGTAAGTGTGGTAGCTTTGTCGCGTTATCTCATATGTAAAGTTTTAGAATTTGTTATTAGAATTTAAACATCACAGAATATGGACTTGGAAACATAACACCTGGGAAAAAAATTCTGGATAAATGTAGTTAATGTTGATTAATACTGCACAAATATTTTAAATGAACAAAATATATTATTGCACAAACCATGATTTTTTGATGCAAAATGAAATAAAACAAATGAGTAGATGATACACATGATGCTGAAAATAAAAGTGAAAAAATCTAAAAATTCCTAAATATATATAAAGAGACACAGTAATGTTTCAAACTCAAAAATAAGCATTTAAAAATATTTCCAAACTTGTGAAGAAAACCAAAAATAAAATTGGTTTAAGTTGGAAGTGTTTAGACATTGAAATTATGAAAAATAGATAAATAACTAAGTGGGGCAGTATGGGGAGATGAAAGAGGTGCCCTTCAAAAAAACATTAAATTTTGCATAAGCAGGAGTTCTGCAGTTATAATGTTGCAAGAAATTGTTTTCCATTCCATATATATTTTGTTGTATATGTATTCTTTGTAAATTTATTTTAAATGAATTCAAAGCAATGAAATGTATTAAACCCCTCACGCTGCTGACATAGGAAGTAATTGACCTTTGCAGCTAGTATAGTCCGGCCAGGCTGCATAACTGTGCAATCTGACAACTAACCAGGTACTATATTACAGGCTACTGACCACATTCAATCTTGATACCCCCCAAAACATGACAATGGACAGTTCCAAAATACGGCAGTGAGGCAAGTCCATTTAAGAAATTCAACAGGTTAATGGTAACCTTATCTTTACTTCAGATGTGGTCCTTAGCAAAGATTTGGCTGTCAATTTACAGTGAAACAAATTCTTTCAAGAGACAGTTGTCAAAACATGTCACTCTATATACAGCCTTGTTTTAGGCCTTTTCAATTAGTTAGTAAAATAAATGAAGAAAAAGAATATAATTATGTACTTATAAATTGACAATATGAATAAAGAAAAGACAATTAAAGATTGATTTCAATTACATTAAATTATGGACTATGAACCCTAGTGACTTGTTAAATACTGACTGATGAATGCCATGTAGTATCATTATAAACCATTGCCTTCATTCTGCAAATTTTGTAATATCTATTTTTAGTATATTTCTGTTAGAACTTTTATAGCAAAAATTAAGTGTGATGTCTTACATAGTGCATGTTAAAAATTACTAAGTGAATGTTTTATGTTGCCAACAACAATCAAAATACAACAATAAATTGTACCTTAACTTTGCACATGAAAACTATCACACAAGCGAAGCAGCGCGAGACATTTATCTATTGTGTAAATGTTCTATATAGCCAGGTACAAGTCTAATGTATGGGTAGGTAAACAAACTTGCTCTTGTAGGTCTATGAATATCTTTTTCCTGTTTCTACAGCAAAGTAACAAAGATGTCAACAGAAAACATAACAAAAATATCAATCAAGCTACTGGCAGGACACCCAGATCAACAGAAAAATGTACATAATAAAAACTCATTTTTGCATCTCAAATAACCAGTGACAACGTCAAAATTTACAATTATTTCTGTATGCACAAAACAACATGGTACGTAACTACATTATTTTCCACCTTCTGTATACAACACTGTACTTATTTACAAATCAATATTAAAATAACGTTTTAAACTAAAATAATCATAATAAGCATAACTGTACATTATTACTAGCACTGTTTCAGACCACAACTAAATAAAAATAAAGGGCTAGACACATTTTATTTGAAGACTTTCAGTAGAGAATAACAGCCTCCCAAAGTAATGCCCAAAAATAATCAAACACAAAAACTAGCACTAAATTTGAAGACAAAAAGTTATCTTTTATAGTCTGGAGACTTGACAAAAGTGTAAGACAAATTTTCATGATAATATTTAGACACAAGACACAGTAAATAAAGAAAATCTTAGTAAAAATTGTTTCACTATTTTCGTACAGAGTTCCTTGATAAATACAGTAACAATAAATGGTTTATGGCCCAGGGTATAACCTTTGGCTTGTCTTTATTATTGT